AACCCCAGCCCCTCAGCCAGAAGTCCCACCCCGCTTCTGCACCCAACCTCTCCCTCAGGCCCCCCTCCACCTCCAGCCCGCTCCTGCACCCTCCGTTCCACCCAGACTCCCCACCCCGCTCCTGCACCCAACCTCCCCCCTCCACCTCCAGCCCGCTCCTGCACCCTCCGTTCCACCCAGACCCCCCCACCCCGTTCCTGCACCCAACCTCTATGTCAGACCCCTCTCCACCTCCACCCCGCTCCTGCACCCTCCATACCACCCAATGAGTTTGAAAACACTGCCCTAAGCCAATCTAAGGAAGTAAGGGGTCTCCTTCCCCCCTAAGCAGGGGTACAAGTAAGCTTATGACTGAACTTTTAGCTTTTCCATCTGCTTGAAACTGGAAACGGCCTAAAGGTGCCAAAGGACACATCTGTGTCTCCCAGCACCAATGTCAATATAGCCTCAAAAAAGGGTTCATTTTTTCCCTGTTTCACTCTGCGGCTCGCCAAACTCAGTAAAAGGGAACATATACTTACAGGTGTATGGGAATCACAGTGCTATATGGGGACTTCAGGGCGATATCACACAACAGATGCCCTTGAATAGAAAGCTGCCCTCTCCATGGGCAATAAAATACTAAAAATAAAATGAGAAAAAGAAAGGTTACGTGTAAATAAAAACCAGGCAAATACAGCTGCATTTCAACATAGCATATCAAACCAACAAGAGACTCTCTTACCTTTATTTTCAAGTTCGTTTCTAGAGAAAAAGAGGAGGGGGGAGAAAAAAAGAATGCTTAAAAGTAGGGAAGGAAAAATCGCACCTGATTGAATGTTGTACAGTAATGCAAAGCTGCTTACATGCTTTCATAGTGTAATGCTGGCATTCTTTTAGGTTCAGTGTACTGAAAGGCTATTATTACATAGGGACAGATCTGTCTAGGGCGCTCCACAACACTGTCACTGGCAAATTCATACACGTAATACTGGAAAGAAAGAAAAAAACCCAGATGAAAGAGAATGGCTTAATTCAGCAGCACCTGAATGCAGCTCTTCATCCCACCCCGATTTCACGTTACGCTCAGAAACATTCCCTCACGCAGTCGCTGCGTGGCCAGCCCTTCGTACCTGAGTCAGTTCGAAGGCCCGAAAATGACTAGTCTCCGAGGAAACATTATTTATATTCACAGAGATATGGCAGTCATATCCAGGAGTCGGATGGGTGTAATTCGCTGTGTGGGTCTCCGGCACAAACTTGACCTTTCCCTGTGACAAACATAATTGCACACACACACACAAAAAGCCACGCTGATAAAAATGCTTCATGTCCCTGTGACAAACATAATTGCACACACACACAAAAACCACGCTGATAAAAATGCTTCATGCAGCAGCTACCCACCCGGGTCAAGAACTTTGCTGCCCGTCCCTGACGCTCAGAGCTCTCTATAAAAGGTGCCGTGCACACGTTCTCCACAACTCCCTAATCGAGAGCCCTAAATGAGGAAAACAAGAGCGAGTTCCATGCCAGGGCCTGCGGAGCAAGGGAAGCAGGTGGCGGGGGGATGGAGAGTCTATGTCTCCACACGCTCACAGGGAGGGATATGGAGGAATACAAGGAGAGTACTGATGGGACAGAGCCTGGCACAAAGCGTGGGAAGGCTGCTGGGAAATTTGGGAGTGGCAAGGAACTTCGGAGTTGTCTTTTCCACCCTGCTCATTCTGCTCCCTCATTTCTGCTTGGCCATCAACGCCCCTCCCACTACTCCCTACTGCCAGGAGGGCTCGGAGCATGCTGGCCAAGCATACTCTGGACACCCACAGAGAAGGGAGGCAAGAGAAGGCACCTGAAATCCAGCACCACAGCATGGCCAGGAGGACAAACTTGCAAACAGCTGACCCGCAGGTGTAACCCACACACTGTCAGGGGGTGATCCGCTGCCGTCTAGTGGCACCAAGACCACTTACAGTGAGAATAATGCATCCGCTTTATAGCCTGAGCTAAGCACCAGCGGGCTTTTCCCTCATGCAGTAGAGCAGTGTTTCACACCCTGGGGCTCCACGAAGCGAAAGTAAGGGTTCCGTGAGAACGCAGCATTCCCCCAACACCTCTTAAAGACACAGAGTCTATTTTGCACTTTTTTTTTTTTTGGCTCCATCAATTTTAGTGGGGCTTTATTTTTTATTGCTTGACAAATTTTACCCTGGCGTTCCTAGGGGTTCCTTGAAATTCTTTTAAGCTGAAAAGGGTTCTGCGGCCAAATTAAATAGGGAAACACTGCAGTAGAGGCTCATGCACTAAACTCCAGAGGTGCCAGGTTCGATTCCGCCTCTCAGCACTACACAGGTACAACCCAGCCAGATCCGTGACACTAAAAAGATTGTCAGCCCAGGTGACATTGCTTCCTGAGATACACGTGTCAGAGCCTTCATGCTTGGAAGCGCTCTCGTTCTGCCTTCAGATAGGAGTTGGTGTGCAGCGCCAATCAATTTACACTAAGGCCCCTTTATTGGCACCCAAAAGCTGAATTTGCCATGTAACTCTAGCAGGGTTGTAAGTAGGGCGTTGTGGAATGAATACTGAAAGTCTTTCCCAGGCAAAACTCTCCATGATATCTGGTAATGCCCGGAGCTCAGGTGTCATGATGCACCATTCTTCTAATTAACAGGCACTAATTACCCTGGAGTCCCAAAAAAGGCATCACTATAGTGTTGATTTTAGATTATATCAATACTAGGGCAAAACATACCAACAGTAACATTTTTATTTTGCCTGCTGCTATATGGGAGCTTTCATTAACTAGCCTATGGGGGGGAAAACTATCAAGTTTTACCTTAATTAGTTTAAAAATGACAATACAGCCAGATTTTCCATGATACCAGGGCTTTGGATGAAGGTAGTCTGAGTACTTGGAAACATACGTCCCTTTAAAAACATAAAATAGAAATATATTTAATATCTTTTTGGAATTCTGGATGATAATTGACTAAATAAGAAAATCCCAATGAAAAACCTCTTGGTACTGTACGAGTTGTTTTGAGTAAAACTTTAAGTTTGAGCTTAACCTACCTGAAAAGTGTCCCTTTGTACCCCAAGAAAGGTTCTTAAAGGATAAACTTTGACTGCTCAGTGATGTTTGCTATTGTGCATTACATTGTTTGTATAGGACCCAAGCATGTTGGAAGATCACATGATTACTTTTCACCCCTCCCTAAACCTTCAAGCCTCATAGGAGGGCTGTGTCTAGACTGGCAAGTTTTTCCGTAAAAGCAACTGCTTTTGCGGAAAAACTTGCCAGCTGTCTACACTGGCCGCTTGAATTTGCGCAAGAACACGGACTTCCTACTGTCTGAAGTCCGTGCTTCTTGCAGAAATACGATGCTGCTCCCGTTTGGGCAAAAGTCCCTTTTGCGCAAAGCTTTTGCGCAAAAGGGCCAGTGTAGACAGCTCAGATTTGTTTTGCGCAAAAAAGCCCCAATCACGAAAATGGCGATCAGGGCTTTTTTGCGGAAAAGCGTCCGTGCCAATCTAGACGCTCTTTTCCGCGAATGCTTTTAACGGAAAACTTTAACGGAAAAAATCATGCCAGTCTAGACGTAGCCCAGATGTGTAGGTTACAAGATTTTCCCAGTCAGACGTGTTTATATACATTTCAAAGTTACAATTAAAGGGTATGGATTTATTTTGGATATGTGTGACTACGGTGCCCCTCACGCACCACTGAACGTAGGACCTTCTCCTGCGAGTCATTCGACTGGCTTGATAGGAGTACTTAGTGTACGTTTTTCAGGATCAGAGCCATAAACCCGATGAAAGGGCACAAAGTGCTCAGTATGTTGGCCTGACACTGAGGGGCTTAAAACTTGATGGATTATTAATTTGGAATTTACATAAGTAGGAGAGTTCAGACCAGATGTAGTATGTGGTGCAGAACTGGATCTGGCCCACCTAACACTTTGATCTGGCCTGTGGACTGCACCTGGCTGCTTGTTATTTATATTCTGCTGCCCGTAGCACTGAATTTCCAGACGGTGGCTCAGGCAGGAGGAACTTATTTAAATGGCTCCCAGCTCCCGGTCATGGCGCTACCCTGGTGGAGGCCAGAGCTGTGAGCCCTTTAAGTACTTGCAACAATTCTGGGTGGCTGCCAGGCAACGTGGTAGTGGTGAGGCCGGGAGCTGCAAGCCCTTTGCTGTGTTTTCACTTCAAAGTCTCCAGCCCCAGGCAACTTTGGGGGTAGGTTGCCCCTAATCCCGCCCCTTCTGTCCTAAGCCCCGCCTCTCCTGCCCCAAGGCCCCGCCCCTTCCACAGATGGAGCCGGCCCGTGACCACATACCAAAATTAATGAAGTGGCCTCCCTGTGAAAATAATTTCCCACCCTTGATGTGATGTTTTCCGAGAGGTTATTTTTATTCAGCTTTCACCTGTGTTAACTATAGGGGGGCAGTCTGTGGTTTAGGACAGATTAGAGCAACTCCTTCCTAATCCCCTTCTCTGTAACATCTATATGCCCCTCAGCTTCCAGATAAAATAACTCTATTCCATGACACAAGGGAGCTTTATGTGAGTCAGCATCTGCTACCTGCTTTCTCTGTGGGAAAAATCCAACAGTGCTTACAACCAAAAATACAAGATAGCTACCAACAACTGACAGAAACAGTATCTTTGACATCACTGCCTGCATTTATCCCTTGGTTTCCATATACAAAAGGATGGCAAGAGAACTGAGTGCGATTATGTGTTTGACTTTATATAGGCACAATTTCTTGGTAGTTGCTAATGTGCAAACCATCAGAAAACAATGAAACCATGACACATCTTGAATTACTTTCCACAGAAGGAGCTAGGTACACAAATATTATGCCACGAAGGAGAAAAAGCACTAAGAAATTTAAAGATGTTGGTTACTTTTCTGTTTTAGCATTTGTTTTCATGCAAGCCTTTCCCCAAATAAAAATAAAAACACGTTTAAATTATCAGAAATGTAGTGTATGATTCACTGCAACGCTTCAGTTTTATGCCTGTTTGAGAATATTTTTTTTCAGTGGAACCAAAAATTGATTTTAGCTTCCTGATACCAACAATAAAATGTGTTTAAAACAAAAAGTATAATGTTAACAAATATGTCTTCCTGACTTCAGATGTTAAGAGGCATCTTCTCAGGGTGTTTTTGTTTGTTTGTTTGTTTTTGTTTTAACTGTAGGAGGTAAAATTGATGTAAAACACGGATTCACACTTTGGAATTTCAGTTATGAATATCAGTGGTCCCAGTCATCTAGATCTGCTTGTCCTATTTTGCTTTACAATGAATGAAATGTGTTAAAGTGTCAGGTTCTAACACCAACAAAGTAAAATTAAACAATCTAAAGCAAAAATGACATCAGAAGCCATTTTTTCCAGCTATTTTTTACATGACAATTCACCCTCAAGAAGTTTTAGTTAAAAGAGCAAAAATCCATGGGGCTTTATCATCACCCTCTTGAAATGAACCTGACTTTATGCAATTTATTTAAAAATTCTCATTGTCATTGTACTAATCCCAATCCAGTGGTATTGCATACACAGACAAAGCCATTCTAAACTTCCCCATCAGTTATTGGAAAGTCTCTAAATCTGTGGCCCGATCTTGCAACCATTTATCTGAGCCTAGGATTTACCACCACGAGAGGGTCTATTGACTGTTAATGGGATTACTCACAATGGTTAACCCCCTCTCATGTATCTTTTGCAGGATCAGGCCCTTAAATGGACAGGGAATGAGTTTTTTCTGTGTTTTGTAAAGTATGCAGTGCTAGGCACTGTATTATTATTACAAGCCGTAATACCAAGAACAGGCAAAATGTAACAGATCTGCAAGGAATTCTGGTCAAATCAGTGGTCGGTGCAGAAGAAGTTGATTTAAATGTTGGGTTTTTTTTCTAAACTGTTATTGAAAAACCTGAGCTGAAGAAGAAACATGATGAAAAGATCATCTCAATAGCTGTCAACCGTGTTAATCTGTCGTGAACTGCCTTACAGGAAGAAAACAACACTGATTGCTTGATCCACACAACTACTGAATTAAATTTTTAAAACATTCGAAATAATAGATCGTTATTTTTTCCGCTTTCAAATAAATAAAATTAAGTCATAAAAGTTCATTTGTGTGTTTTTTCAAGAAACACATTACAAGAAGTTAGTTATTCCTCTCCCTCTCCCGGTCCCCACCCCATATTTTACCTTTTGCTGGATCACCTAGCGTGGTAAGGGAGCTGGTGTTTATACGAAGTCCATTCTGACAGACCGCTTTTGCCTTCAAAATAAGTTATAGTCTTATTTATTTAAAGATAAGATGTTTAGCTATCCAGACACTACTGTAACAGCAAACATACTTTCCGCTAATAAATGCATTTAAGTATTGCAAGTCAGTTCATTATTTTCACATCCACACGACACTTCTGATCTGCATATAATTAAGGACTGATGGAGCATTCATTAAAAGTCAGTGGAAAAACGCAATAGATCCGGTCCCAAGTTCTGAGAGCTATTTATCAGATCTGGGTATGACATTTAATTAACACACCCAAAATTTTATATTCATGCAATACACTGTGCTTGGGAAGTTTTTAGAAAATTCCACCCCCTCCACAAACATCTCGGCAGACGGAAGGCTGATGTCTTTCCCTTTCTTATGTTCTTAATTTTCTAACACGTTACTTCCACAACCTACAGAGGTCCTTCAAAAGGATGCTTGTAATCTCCTGTCTTCTGTCTCTGTAGTCCTTTTTCATTCTAAATCTGAGCTGTTTATCTCATGTCTGCACTACAGGCAGTCCCCGGGTTACCTACAAGATATGGACTGTAGGTTTGTTCTTAAGTTGAATTTGTATGTAAGTCGGAACTGGTACCTATTGTAGGGGAAACTCTAGCCAAACATTTCTCCAGAGCTCAGTTTTATTCTCCCACACCTCACTTCCCTCAGTCCTTTATTCTCAACCTGAGGTGTCTGCTGAGAAAAGCCGCTCCGCATCTCCCTGGTCCGGTGGGGGGGGGACGCTAGCTTCGCGTCTCCCTGGTCTGCTGGGGGGAAGCAGCTAGTGCAGGGTTGCCTCACCCCGTTTGTAAGTAGGGATCCGATGTAAGTCGGATCCATGTAACCTGGGGACTGCCTGTATTCTGCAAATTCACCAGGGGAAGGACAACACCTTTCCCTCTGTTTGCACATCTATCAACACTCAAACAACAACAGGTTTTGGGGTTTTTTTTTTAAATCAGGAATAACTGTCAGATCCTTTTTACAGGCTAAATTCTCCTCTGGGCTACTTATAGAGTGATAATCACAATGAAGAGGCAGTGCGGATTACAAAGAGAAACTGAACCATGCATGAATATTTCTAATGGATTTCCTTAGGCAAGGTGCCCCACTGAAAGTGAAAGTACTCAAGGATGCTGCCTCTCTCGATTTGCTGTGTTGGACAATCTTTCCGTGTTACCTCTCTTTCATTATCAAACAGAAGAAATGCGTAGGTCTCTTCAAGCTCCTCCTTCGTATAGCCACTCGCTTCCTTTTCTTGGGTAAAAGATTTGTACTGCGGAAGACACACACACACAAAAAGCTGGTTATTTTATACATTCCAAGAACGAGACCCATATTAATTTTGTGAGGTAGGGAACATTAAGCATTTAGCGCGGGTCTACACTAGGGAGTTATTTCAAAATAATCCCCCTTATTTCACAGAATCATAGAATACGAAGACTGGAAGGGACCTCGAGAGGTCATTGAGTCCAGTCCCCTGCCCTCAAGGCAGGACCCAGTACTGACTAGACCATCCCTGATAGACATTTATCTTAAATATCTCCAGAGATGGTGATTCCACAACCTCCCTGGGCAATTTATTTCAGTGTTTGACTACCCTGACAGTTAGGAAGTTTTTCCTAATGTCCAACCTAAATCTCCCTTGCTGCAGTTTAAGCCCATTGCTTCTTGTTCTATCCTCAGAGGCCAAGATGAACAAATTTTCTCCCTCCTCCTCATGACACCCTTTTAGATACCTGAAAACTGCTATCATGTCCCCCCTCCATCTTCTCTTTTCTAAACTAAACAAACCCAATTCTTTCAGCCTTCCTTCATAGGTCAAGTTCTCTAGACCTTTCATCATTCTTGTTGCTCTTCTCTGGACCCTCTCCAATTTCTCCACATCTTTCTTGAAATGCGGTGCCCAGAACTGGACACAGTACTCCAACTGAGGCCTAACCAGCGCAGAGTAGAGCGGAAGAATGACTTCTCGTGTCTTACTCACAACACACCTGTTAATGCATCCCAGAATCATGTTTGCTTTTTTTGCAGCAGCATCACACTGTTGACTCATATTGAGCTTGTGGTCCACTATCACCCCTAGATCCCTGTCTGATGTACTCCTTCCCAGACAGTCGCTTCCCATTCTGTATGTGTGAACGTCCCCACTACCAAGCCCGTTATTTTGAAATAATGGGCTGGCTATTTCGAAATCTGCACTCCTGCTTCCCTCGGGGAGTAACACTTATTTCAAAGCAGCTATTTCGAAACAGTGGTTGTGTGGACACGCTGCTGCTATTTTGAAGTAACCACTTTCCAGAGTCATTCAAATTAATTACTCCCCAGTGCTTCCTGGGGCTCTAAGTCGAGGTAGCGTGTCCACATTAACGGAGCCTGCCTCGGACTTATTTCGAGGCTCCCCCACAGTAGGGTTACGCTATTTCGATTTTATTATTTCAGAAGTTATTATTTCAAATGTAGTTATTTTGAAATAATTTCCTAGCGCAGACATGCCCTTAGATAGTACATTTCATTTAAAGGTCTTACCTTGCTTTACAATAGTGTTTCTCAACCTTTTTTTAATAAAGTACCCCTTTAAAATATTATAAGTACCCCCAGTACCTACAGTTGTCAGACACACACATTTTTTTTTTCTACCATTGCAACACATTTGTTTAAACAACTTAATTGTAGCTGGGCTGGTGATTAAATTTTTGGGTGTAAAAAGTACAAAAATAATAAAGCGCTGTAAAACTTAAAACAAAAACTCAAGTTTTCTCCAAATTTCTGGTGTGTTGACGTACCCCCCAGATGTCTCTCGAATACCCCTGCGGGTACTTGTACCACTGGTTGAGAAACACTGCTCTACAAGCATTAACTAAAGGTAACTAAAATCCTTTTTCTTTTTTCTTTTTTTTTTTACTTCAAAAAGCATTTAAGGTCTTACAGTCTTGACAGAATACCTCCTGAATAGCTATTAATAAATGTATTTCATAAATCTAAACATGGTAGCTAATCATTCGTTCCTCCTTTATTTAGAGGGTACGATCCAAGTTCAGGGTTTTCTTTACAAATATCACTGACATGACTAACACTCACTGCAATGTACGGTAACATCCGCCTATACCATTTAGACGTTAGTAAGAAAAGCAACTGCCGCTGCAGGAGGAAAACAGGTCATGCAATGCCGACAAGGCTCGGAGCCTTTCAGGCCAGAAAGAGCCACCAGGGTCTTCTAGTCTGATCTCCTGCACATCACAGGCCACAGAACCTCACCCACCCACCCCTGTAATAGACCATAACCTCTCCGAAGTTACTGACGTCCTCCAATAATGATTTAAAGACCAAGTGACAGAGAACCCACCGTTTTCAATAGGAGGTTGGGCCCCTTGGAACCTGAGTGGTTCCAAACCAGGGAGTTTGCCTGATCGGGGGAGATCAATGCTGTGCTCCCAGGCTGTGGGGCTCCTTGGCCGCTGCCAGTCCTGCTAGTGATGGGGCTCTTTCTCACCAGACTGGAGCTCCCTAAGGCCGGGACTTCCTGGCCCCTGCAAGTTCTGCTCCCACTGGGGCTCCCTAGGGCCGGTGCTCACAGCCACCACGGGCCCAACAGCTGCCAGCCCAGCCGGAGCTCCCCAGTCACCATGGGACTCCCCGCTGCCTCCCGCTTCTCACCTCTGGGGCTCTTTGGTCCAGCAACATCCGGGGTCCGGACCAGAGAGTCCCAGATTTGAAAGGTTCAGCCTGTAGTTTAAACCTGCAAGTGACCCAGGGTATGTCTACACGACAGCGCTAATTCGAACTAACTTAATTCGAATTCGTTAATTCGAACTAAGCTAATTCGAACTAGTGCCATCTAGACCTAAAAAACAGTTCGAATTAGCATGTCCACATTGAGTGGACCCTGAACCGAGGTTAAGGCTGGCCGGAAGCAGTGCCGGCAGGGCATCAGGTTAGGACTTAAAGAGCGTGGAGCTGTCTACACGACAGCGCTAATTCGAACTAACTTAATTCGAATTCGTTAATTCGAACTAAGCTAATTCGAACTAGTGCCATCTAGACCTAAAAAACAGTTCGAATTAGCATGTCCACATTGAGTGGACCCTGAACCGAGGTTAAGGCTGGCCGGAAGCAGTGCCGGCAGGGCATCAGGTTAGGACTTAAAGAGCGTGGAGCTGCTGTCTCAGGCTAGCCGAGGGCTGCGCTTAAAGGGACCCGACCCCCACCCCGGACAGACAGTTCTCAGGGGTTCCCCGCTTG